CCTGTTCGGTGGGATGATGACCCAGCTGTAGACTTTGCTGTCCAGCCACGTTACTCCTAAGCCATGGAAAACCACKACTTTTGTGGTGGCCTGACACCAGAGGTCCCAAATAGCTTGAGTGGAGGCATTATCTGGGCATTTCAGCATGCTYGACTCAGTCACACAGACCCTTTATRTGCCACTAATAARTGATTAATTTGTTGGCAGGAGGTCAAGTGGGTGAGGGAGTTGTAGCCTTCTGAGGGTGTCCTCTTCTCTTTGGTGTGACAGGGTGAGCTGCACGTCTCCTGCCAGCAGTCAGGGCCCTTTATGAATGTGTTATAAATGCCATAKGAAGTAAAGCCTGGCAGCTCTGCTCTCAGCAGCAGATGACTTTGTTGACAGCCCCGGGCCATATTGTGTGCTGATGTTGTATCTGGCTCTGTGAYGAGGCAGTGCAGCTGCAGTGGATTGCATGGAAGGGGAAGCTCCTTTRCATTGATTTCTGGCATCTCCCTTTCCCCAAACCTCAACAGAGYGGCGATGGAATGGCTGCTGGCAGAGACAGGGCTGCCCTTCCCGGTTCTTCTCTAATTCATGCAGCCYCATCGCTTCCAGGTGATATTTCCAGCTGTGGTGGACACTGGGCTTTTTTGCAGGTGATAGGGCAATGTATATTCTGGGGTTTCACATGGCTCTTCCTGAATCCTGTTCCCAAAACCTCTTCCCTCTTGTACCCTGGCTTCGCGGGGACAGCCTACCTCACAGAGATGGCAGCCAAAGCCAAAGCACTCCTGGCCTGATACTCTGGTGAGGTCAGGAGACAGGAATGTCCAGTGTGCTGGTAGAGGGTTCCTGAGTTTTTCTGGCATGGGTCTGCAAAGCCCAAAGCCTCTGGGAGGCATTTGATTTTCCTTTCTGGAATTAGCTTTARTGCTGAAGGTTGGGTTCGGGCCAGCAAAGCTTCCTTTGAGCCGTCAACCATGCGAAARTCTCCTCAAGTCCGCAGAGTTTCCCTCAAACACAGCTCATCTGGTGMCAGAGTTTTCCCTTGCCTGAATATTAAAATCTCCTTGAGTGCCGGTGAGGAATCGCCCAAAGGAAACGTGCCCTTCCCAGCAGTGCTGGTTCTCTGTGGCATGTGGAGCATGGCAGCCAGAGCATGGTGCCTGTGCTGCTGTGCTGCAGGAAGAGCTGTTCTGTAGCACAAACAGGAATAAAACTCCTCCCTTGGCTGAGGGTCCAAGGAAAGGGACGTCMAGAGCTGGATCTGGAATGGGCAGCTGGCCCTGGTCAGAGCAGAAGTGTAAGGGTCACAAAGGCTTGGTGAGCAGTGTCTGTGTGGGCACAGCTGAACCAAGGTGCCTTCAGTTCATCCTTACACCTGCAGGATCTCCTCAGGAAGAGAGAAGCCCCTTCCACAAAGCGTGTTTGGCTCAACCAAGATCTCCAAAAGCTGTTGGCAGAGATGCAGGGACCACGTAACAGAAATGACCCAGCCCTGTGATGAGCTCTTGCTGGAGCAAGTCTTGCCACATCTCTGGGCTGCTGAGGCACTGWGGTATCTCTACCCTTCCTCCTCCCTTCTCCAGTCCCACTAAAGTTTGTGTGAGGGTGTGAATTTCCTTTCACACTGCATGAAAATCTCTCTGCATAGGGACTTTATAAAGGCAAGTGTCTGGCTGCAGGAGTGCAGCCCGCTGTAGCTCATCTTGCAGCTCCTCAGGCTTCAAGTCTCACTTTCCATTTCCCGATCCTGTGGTGGGTGAAATGAAATTGAGAGCTCTCAGTCCCACTGGCCGCTGTGAATCTGCTTCTTCTCCAAACCTCCCCAGCCTGGGACAGTGCTGTCTGGAGGTGAAGGTACGTGGGATCAGCCTGATCCTGCAGCACTGAGTAATTACTTGTAGAATTTGGAAAGATGGTTGTGAAGTACTGCTGTGGGCTGAGCATGTTGAGTTTCTGAATGCAGTTGTGAACAATTAGAGCAAATGGGAGACCAAGGCCCTGTTTTAGTAAATGGAACCATTTGGAAATTAAATCTTTCCACCTTTTTGCTTCGAAAGGCAATTTAACAGCTGACCCCCTGCTCACACTTGTGCTTGTCCAAATTGAAATGGCACATTTTGTCTGGGGTCCAACAAACCCCTGTAGCTGACCCAAACACAAGGACTTTGGCACRGCTTAGTTTCTCATTTGCTTGTGTTTTTTGCTTCATTTTGTTTTGTTTGTTTTTCACTAAAGACAAATATTTGTGCTGCTAGGTCAGTCAAAAAGTAATCGTCCTTTTTCCTCCACTCGTCAGTGTGATTACTGAACCCCAAYGCATCCCTTATTAAACCTTGCCCCCCTACCAGCCTATTTGAGCATGACAGCGAGCTCTGAATCTGAAAATAAACTGGGTCTAGGTGTTTGGTTGAGGGTGCTRGTATTTTTGAATCTGTGGGGGCTTTATCTGCAGCCCTTCTTGCCGAGCTGAGGTGTGGTGTTCCCAGTGTCACAGCCCTTTGGGATGCTCGGTACGGTTTGAGCCACATCCCAACACGATGGTGGGCAGCCTGGAAGCTGGATTGCTCTGTGGCAAATCAGAGCTGGGAAAGTTATTTCACTGCTTTTGCAGAAAAATCCTTCTCCCCAAAACGGTCGCCCCCGGCTCTGTCCTCAGACTGTTTGAAGGATGCAGGGACAGAATAGCGAGCCGGTGAGGTCATGGGGAGAGAGTTAGTCACATCCAACTGGGAAAGGGAGAGGGCTGCCAACCAGTGCTGCTCTCACAGTGTGGAAAACTCATGTGGTTCAGAAGAGACCCCCCCTCCAGGCTCCCTAGAGCACCCTGGCCAAGCTGGCAGTGCTGGTGCAGCACTGCCTCTGCAGCAGCTGCYCCAGGAGCTGGAGGAGGGGGTGAGCGATTTTAACTGAAATGTAACTCGTTTTGGCATAAACATGGACTTTGCTTCTGGTAACTGGGGCAATATGGGCGAGAGGGGGTTAAGAGCCTTTCTGAATTGGAGACTATCTGGAGCTGTTGCACAAGGGAGGGAGATCGTGGCAGAGTTTAATGAATGACTTCATTTATATATTAAAAAAAAAAAAACCCAACAACAACATGGTGGCTTCCTGCCAGGTCCACAGACAAGGGTTTCTATGGGAACCTGAGGAAAAATAATAAATAGGAGTGTGGGATGAGTAGGGAAGGGAGGAGGGGAGCCCAGGCTCTGGTCTGGGTGTGCTTTGTTCCTCATGGAGACCAAGGTGACAGGGAGCAATGAGGGGGCAAAAGGGGAAAGAGTTGAATTTGCTGTCTGCAAAAAGACCCCACCCAAAATAAGGCAGGCAGTAACTATTGGGCAGTGGAGAATTCTCTTGGGCTGGTCCTGGGGTCTGCCTTGTTCCCTGCTCCTCCGTTGGCATCGCAGGGATGGGCGACCTTTCTTCATTRGGCTCATCACCCTGGCTTTGCTGCCTTGGGGCAGGTAGGATTTTGGGAGGGCAGTGATTTGGGCTCATCCCCGGCTTCTTGACAGGTAGTGGTGGGACCACAGTGCAAAAGAATGCTGCTGGGGCTAAGCTCAACCATTCTGCTGGCACTATAGAGTAAAATAGTCTCTGAGGGAGTCTTCCCTGGAGAGGCTAACAAGGTTCCCAGTCTATTTAGAAAGGCTGCATTTTTCATTAATTAATCCCAATGGGCTTTTTTCCGCCCCCCCCATTGTTGGGAGAGGAGCGTGTCTGTCCTGAACTTCAAAAGAAAACAGCTTTTTGGTGAGACCCGTGGTGAAGTGAGTTTGCCCCCAAACTGTGGGCAAAGCCAGACAGGCTGGGAGAGTRGCACTTCTGGGGTCATCTGAAACCTGTCCCTTGTTCATCCAAACTGGGCTGAAACAAGTAATTTTGTGTTTTTCCCCGTTTTTCCTTTCCACAGACTCTTTGCCCCAGTCTGAACCATATTGCACTGTATGTCCTAATGAGCAGGTTCACCCTTTGGGGGCTGCAGTGTGTGTKCAGGGTGTGCCTGAGGGAGGGAAGGCTGGGCTGGGATCACCGTCCTGGCTCCCATGCRTGTGCCTTGCTGAAGAGCATTTCTGTGAGCAGAATTGCCAATGCCAGGGGAAACTGCCTTTGAGGTCTGTTTTGGACCTGGCTGAGCCAGGGCCAAGCGGGGTGAGCAGACATCTGCCCCAGCATCAGCCCTGGGTACCACAGATCAGACCTGCCCAGCCATCACAGGCCCTTTGGGTGGGTGGTGGCCACCCCATGGCGTGTCCCTTTGTGCCCGAATGTCGGCTGGCGCCGCCCGTGGAGCAGGAGCSCATCCCACGTGGGGAGCGCCTGGACCGGCCTTATCACCAGAGGAGGAATGTAGCATCTGCCTTATCACTTCCTCGGGGATGCAAGAGGCTGTTTTGCCGACAGAGCCATGATTATCCTGCAGTTGAGATGTCTGTAAGAAGCCAAGGCAGGTTTTTCTTCTCTGYGGGGGTGGCAGGAAGCCAGGCAGGGCAGAGCAGGACATAGGTGCTGCCCTCWGTCACTGCTTCCTCAGCTCCTGGTCAGGCAGGAACAGCTCAGCCTCCTAGGGAAACTCACCCTCAGGGTACAGATCCTGCYTTCCGTGGGCCAAAGATTGAGGTGAAGGTGTTTGGCGTCTTGCAGCACTGCCAGACCCTTTACAAACCCTTCGGGGGTGCAAAGCTGTTTTTGCAGGGATTGGTGCTTCCCAGTGGAGGAAGGTGGCTGGTCTGGGAGGAAAGGGATATATACCACATCTTTCTCATAGASACTTGCAGGCTCTCCTCCACCCCTCTCCCAGTCCCTGTGTCCTGATCCTTGTCCATYGGTCAGTCCCACTGTGCTGATGGARGTGAGGATGCCMMTTTGAGGATCACCACTCATGGTGGGAGCACTCATCTGCAGAAGGCTCCTGCTTGCTGGGGGGAGCCAGACACCTTTAGGGGATTGYTACCGGGTTTCACAGGACTGCCTGATGGCATTAAAGATGGGTTTTCCCTCTGGCTTGGCAGGCTAACAGCACAGTGGAGYGTGGAAGATGAGGAGGAGGCGGCGAGAGAGCGGCGGCGGCGGGAGCGGGAGAAGCAGCTGAGATCCCAGGCGGAAGAGGGCTTGAACRGCTCCGTGTCCTGCTCGGAGAGCGCGGCTCTGGCACAGGAAAACCAGTAAGAAATACCCGTGGATAAATCCTTCAGCCACACACTTTCTCCTTGCAGCAAACCCCTACTGTGTCCKCTGACTGTGTGTTCCTGTTGTCTGGGATGGTTTGGGGAAGATGGGGAAGTTCTCTGATAGGTTTGGKTTGGGGGATTTAGCCCACACTAGCAAACAGTGTGTTTTCGTGTCTGGGCAGAAAACCCCACAAGTCTTGCTTTGATGTTTTTTTTTTTGGCTGGAAGCTGAGTGTTTTACTGCCCTGGGAGTTTACMCTGGGACAGCTTGGGACAGGCTGGGCTCTGGCAGGGAGTCCTCATTGCCAGTGATTTCAGTGCTTGGTTAAATTTCAACTTGTGAGTCATCCTACATCGAAAGTAATGGAGTTTCCTGATACATGCAAGGACAGACACGTGCCTGAGGATGTGATGCAGAGCCCTGGGCAGATCACTGTGTGAGCAATCCCCTGTCCTGGCTGGGTTCCCACTCCTCCCTCAGAGGATGCTGTCCCAGCACTGGGAACCATGGAACAGCCCTGAGCCAGTGCCATTCACAGCTCCAAGGGTTAAAATTAGCTTCGTGCTTTGATGGGGCAGGTCCTAAATGGAAGTAGYTCAGGAGGCATTTATGGTGCTGCTGAGCTGTCTGCTGTCAGAGGAAACACCTGGAGAAGGGATAGGATGACATCCCCAGTGTCCCACGCCACATCCTACTGCAGCCTCCCCGTGTCCATGGTTCAGCAGCCCAGATGCTGTGCAGCACTGGGGCTAGCACAAAAACTGGTCTGCACTCTGAATTGCCAAATTGTTGTCTCAAAGACCTCAGTCTTACCACTGTTTATGTGTTCAACTTATTTCTGAATCTATTGAGCCCAATGGAAAAGTGGTGGCAGGATTTGGGGTTATAGTCAGAGAGAAGCAATATCTTCATTTTACTGGAAAAATAACAGAAGTTATTTATGAAAACCTATTCTTTTTCCATTAAAAGATCTTCTTTTTTTTTCTGATACTTGCAAAATTATACAGGGATTTTTTTTTAATAGAATAGCTTGCAAAACACCTTCACAATCTTTTGTGGAAATACACAYGGTGATATTCTGCAGACAAAAGAGCTGCAGTCTGCTCTGAAAGCAAACAGAAGGTCTGGGAAGCAATAATAACCATTAGCTTTTCCAAACCCCACTTCTCATGGGGGCTAGGAAATAATTTGAAAAGGTCTTTAAAACAGCAGATGAGATCTCAGGTCTCTGCTTTGCTGGCTGCTTCAGCCCCAGAGCAGAGTGYAGCAGCCCCAGTGCTCAGCTTGCAGCCTCCAGTCCTGTTGGCATGGGCACAGGACCATCAGAATTGCCCAAATTTGACTGAGTGCTTAAGAGGGCAATGACAAGAACARCTCCTAAAACGAAGGGTTTTGGTCCCTGCTCCATGGTGCTTTAGCTTGCAGGGCCAGGCTCAAGTATGTTTCTTCTTCTCTGGCCATTCCYTGGTTTTGTTTACAGCTGCTGACAGCCACCTGGGCTTGCTCATGCAGCCAGGGTCARCCCTGGCTATTAATCTCCTGAAAAGCTTCATTCTCTCTTGTGTAAATACTTCCCCCTCCTTCCCGTGGCTCTTCCYACGCTGGAACTCGCCCTATCCATGTCATTCCCATTAGTTCAAACCCGAGCTTCCTCCAAAGGGACTGAATTCCTRTTCTCTCTTATCCCACTAAAGAAAACCAGAAATATTCAGGAGAACAGAGGGTTTGCAGGAAAGACAAGGAGTGTCCTTGGGAGCCGGAGGGATGGAAATGAGCTAAGGTGACAATGATGGGGCTGTGCTGGCTCCATGCTTTTCCTGGGGCTGTGTTTGCAGAGGGACACAGGGAAGCAGCCAGTGTTCTAGCAGCATTCAGCCAGTCTCCCTTGCTCCCTGGTAGCGTTTCTCTCAGCCTGAGCACGCATTTGTGACCAAGGCCACAAATASTGGAACAGTTTTGCCTTGGCCATCKTCAGCAGTGCGTCTCACTTGGAGAAGAATGCATGGAATAAGTGGGAGGAGAGAAGGACAGTGCCGGGCTGTGGTTCTTCCAGGCCAGGTTTAGTTTTTTGCATGCCTCTCACGCCGATTTTCCTTCTTGCTGTGTTTCAGCTATGACTTTAAGCCGTCTGGGCCTTCGGAGCTGGAGGAAGATGAGGGGTTCAGTGACTGGTCCCAGAAGCTGGAGCAGCGCAAGCAGAGGTGGGTAGGACCCAGATGAACCGAGGGGAGGGGTACCCACATCCCCAGCAAAAGGACTGTCCTGAGGAGGGGACCAAGCCCAGCTCTTGTGGAGGAATGAGGCCTGAGGCTGGGGCATCATTAGGGCAGAAGAGGCCCCTGGACAGATGCTCTCTGCTGCCATTGGGGTGAGCAGGGAGGAATGGCCCAGGGACAGCCYCAGGCTTTGGGGATGTTTGGATTGAGCTTTGTGCTCCAAGCAGTGGCAGCCTGCCAGGAYGCCGGGGTTTGGAGGAGTGACAACAGCAGATTTAAGCCACCTGAGCTGCTGCAGGGGCTCCCTAACATAATCCAGGCCAGCCTAAAATGCTGCTYTAAGTTATTGCTGCTTCCTGGCTCATGTCAGCACGGTGGGTATGGCCTCAGCCCACCTTGTGCCTGACTCCTCTCTGAGCAGAGGGAARAGCAGGCAGCAGAGAGCCCTGAGAGGTGCTTGTGTGCCAGCTGCTTAGTCCCCACCTCCCCTCACTCCCCCCTTCCTGAACTAAGCCAAACTCCTGCCCTAACCACTTCCTTTGGACACCATCTACCTGCACGTGAACTCTGTGACTCAGCTCTCTTGGCAGCTTGGTTTTGCAGGGAATTTTTGGCATAGCCTCTTCTTCACCCTGAAGAATTCTTTGCACAGGGAGGTGTTGGATGCCCCTTCCCTGGCAGCATTCAAGGTTGGGTTGGTCAGGGCTCTGAGAAAGCTGATCTGATTGAAAAGGTCCCTTATTTCAGAGGAATTGGACTAAATGACCTTTAAAGGTCCCTTCCAACCCAAACTACTCCATGACTGAAAAAAATGCTTAAGATTAATATTTACTGCTGAATAAATAAAAAGAGCTCCAAGTTGTGTTACTTTTCTCCAAATGTTGTGGTTAAGCAACGCTGCAGGCTGTACCTTTGCAGCCCTGATTGCACAAGCACTGCTCAAGCACCTCCAAGGACCAGCATAACATCTGATTATAACATCTGTGGGAGCTATTAGAAATCATCTGCTTTTCAGTTCGCTGCCTCTTTTTTCCAGCCCCCCTTGCAAAGAGCTTTTCTGGAAAGAAAGGCTACTGCTATTGCCCCCTTTGGCCTTCAAAAGAGAATTAGTTAGAATTAACATTTTGGCCTTCAAAAAAGAATTAGTTAGAATTAACATTTTCCCCTTCAGGTGTTTCTCCTTGTGTTTTATGTGATGTGTTGGGGAGGGGAAGGTGCTGAGCAGGGGAGGGGGTGTTGATGGCAAGTGAAGCCCATCAGTGAGRGGTGGTGCTTTAAAAGCAGATGCTGGAGGGCTGCTGGGCTAGGGGCTGCTTGAGAGAGGCAGAGGAGGGGGYTCAGAGCCTGGGGACTTGCTGGGGCTGGGCTTGGGCTTGCTTTCTGCTGGGAGGCTGTGCCCCATAAAATCCTTTCAGCAGCTTTGCCCTTGGGGATCTGCCTCATCCAAAGGCTGATTTTGGTGTGAGCACAGGTGGGTTGTGTGTCTGGCTGGGATGCCCCACRCTGGCACGAGTGGTGCTGTGGCCAGGGCTGCCCAATTCCCTCTCTCCTGCTCAGCTGAAGGTGGAGCCAGCCCTGGGTTTTCCCCAGAAGGATGTTTGAGTGGGGGCTGTGGAAGAGTGGATGGAGACAGCTGCTCTCTGTTGGGTGGAACTAAAGCAGCTCCTGCATCCCCTGAGAGCCCTGGTGCTCAGGCACATTTTCCTTTTGGCTCTGGTTTGCCTCTTTGAGGGTGCTATCAGCTGTGTGCAAGAAGGTGGAGCTGTGCCAGCGTAGCTGCCTCCTGTGCAAAATTGCCGKGGTGCAAAAAGCATCCTGTAGGCTGCACTGTGTTAGCTGGCCTCAGTTTTTAATGTGAGCTTGCACTTGGCTGGAGGCATTGCTGGCATCCTGGTGGAGAGCTGCTGGTTTCCTGGGCTTTCAGAGACTGGTGGTCTTGGTGAGAGGATGATGAGAAACAAGTCAAGTGAGCCAGCATATGCATCATCTTTTTCCCCATGTGGAGGGCTGGATGGTGGCTGACCTGTGAGCTGCCTTCCCAGCAGCAGAGCAGTGGGTGGAAGGGTCTTGTCTGAGCTTGTTTTTGTGTTTTGGTGCTTTCTCTTGAGGGAGGAGCAGTGAGTCAGCCTTGCCCTTTGGCAGCTGCCTGCTAGCCAGCTCTCTAGCCCTGCTCCCTCAAGCCAGGCAATTTTCTAAGAACTGGGTGGGAGGAGAAAGCTGTCTTTTGGCTGGGGAAAGTAAGATGGCAATAATGCCTGGGTGTGTGGCTGTGAGCCAGTGACAGTTCTGGGGTTCTGTGCTTCCAGTGTCCCTGTGCCCAGAGGCATGGGCTGCTCTGCTTTTGCAAAGCTGGTTGCAAAAACATCCTCCTGGGTCTCCTCTTGCAGCCTCAGAGAGCTGGAGCAATTCTCTTGTACCAACCCCATTGTTTTTTAAACCCCTGAGCCAAGGGGTGATCCTATCTGCTTTGGAATGCCTTTGTTTTGCTGGGYTAGGAGATGAGCGGTGGGAGCAGAGGTGTAATTGTTTCCAGTGGGCAAAACTGAGGCTTGGGATCAGGTAATCAATATGGCAGTAGTTGTGAATCACCGTGCCATGTGCATGAAAAGATTCCAGGGGAGTGGCTGTGCAGCCTGCCTTGCAGTTAGTTTGAGCTGGGGAAAACGGGAATTTTRAGCAGCATCTTCATGTGTTGTTGGTTGGATCCTCCTCCTCCAACTCTGTTGCAGATGAAGAAGGTGAATTGAGGCAGAGAAGGGCTGTGTTTGGTGCCCCACAGTGAATTRCTGCTGGGAACAGAGGGAGCAGCATCAGATTGTGCTCAGGACGGCAGGACGTGCTGGTTCTCCTGGGATTTTAGCTGTAGCCAGGCAGGGAACGGAACCAACAGCACATCATGGCAGCAGTGCCCTCTGTGCCAGGGGGCTGAGCAGAGGGCTCTTCTCTGCTTTCCTGGGGGTATTGCCCACCATGATGCTGRTAATGTGCAGACACCTTCAGCTCTGCCACAGCTCTTAGCTGGGCTGAGCCTTGGACATTTGAGATGGGGGTGGCTGCTGTTTGACCTGGATGCTTGGAACTGGCTGTGAGCCCTGCTGTGGAACCCAGCAAGCTGCAGGCTTTGGGAAGGGATAAAATGGGATTTCTGGAGGTCTGAGTTACTTCATGGTGTCTGTAGGCTCATAACTGTGTTTTTCTTCTTTGATCTCTCCCCCACCTCTAGGTCTCCAAGACAGTCGTACGAAGAAGAGGACAGTGGTGTGAGGGAAGCTGAAGGCAAACTGGAGCAGATCCAGCTGGGGCAGGAGAGCCCAGAGAAGATCCAGGAGGAGAATATGGTTATCAGAGAGGAAGAGAGGGTGTGCCACGAGGAAGAAGAGCCCCAAGAGCAGGAGGAGAGGGAGCAAGCTGAGCAAGAGGTGGGATGAAAAGGAGCTGACCTTCTTTCCAGAGGACTGGTGGGAGAGCTGATGCTGGAGGCTGCTCTCCCATGTCCCAGCTCACCGTTGCTGATGAGCCCACAGAYATTAGAGATACTTTCATGGCATAACCTGGGGCTGGTGCCACTCCTGCCTGTGTGCTGTGCCTTCTTGTGGTCACTGCAGGCAACCTCTGCCCTTTTGGGAGGGTGGTGTGTTTGCTCCCAGAGTTTGTGGTGGCCTTGCCATGTCCCTGCCATACCAAGGATGAAAGTGCTAATTCTTCCGTGGCTTTGTGGGCAGTGAGTAGCTTTGTAGGGGAACTCAAATCTAAATTATACTGCTTGTTTTTCTCTCCCCAGCCTTTATCACACCTTTGGAGCACTTTGTCTTGATAAATCTTTTAGCCTTGCATTGTTCCCAGCTGAGGTTGTTCTGTTGTTCTGATAATTTCTGGTTAAGAGGAGAGAAAGAGAGAGAGACAAAGCTGAACTCGAGTGGTGTGCAAGTGTGTTAGGGTGGCTGAGTTTCAAATGTAATTTGTTGTGAATGGATTTGACTGTCTGGGGCTGGTAAGATTTTTGCTATTGAGCTGTGAGACTCTTTCCAGCCCTTTATTCTAAAGGCAGTCTCTCTCCTTTTGGCTCTAAATGAGAAATTAATGTTTTTTCTATTTCAGTTGTGAGAGGAGATCTTTATAACTGATGCAAGGACCCCTTTTCATACCATGTGGGAATCTTGAACAAAACTTCTGATTTCTGCCCTCCCTTCCAAATGACATCTGGGCTTCTTCCTGAATGTTTCCAAATTAGATAATGTTAACTCAAAGTTTCAGTGCTTTTGTGTTTATTTAGTACAAAGCAGGAAGCCTGGGAGACGGGAAAAATCAATGCTGTTGCATAATAAGCAATTTGACCAGCTCACTTCCTGGCTTGTTCTTTTTCTGCACTCAGGAAAAGAAGAGAAGGAGAAATGATGGAGAGAAGGAAGAAGAAGCACCAGAGAAACGCCAGAGGGCCCCAAGCCTTGCCAGCCTGGAAGAGGAGGAGCTGGGCTCTGACCAYGCTGCAGTGTGCTCCACAAAGGTTTGTGTTCCTGGGGCCCCTCTGGATGCATGGCAGTGGTCACAGCAGAGCACCCAACTGATGATGGGGGAAGATTACCCAGGGTTTACAGCAATGTGGGCTGTGAATCCCGTTATCCCTCCTGCTACAAGCCCAGACAAACCACTTGAGYGATTTGCCTCGTCTTTCATGGCTGTCAACCTCCTCTCCTCCTGCTTTGCCTGCTTGAGCTGTTGGAGGCTGTAGTTAWCACTCCAAAAGCCAAAAGTTCAGGGAGTACTTCAGGGTATATTGAATACTGAGATACCTGTGCTTTCAGCTTGTGTGTTTTGTTAAAGACTACACAGAAACTTAATCTTAATGAAATTTCCCTTCCAAAGGGAAAAAACCCCTCTGTAACTGGAACTGTGGCATTTCTTTGTCTTACTTGGAACAAGATGTATGATTAATCTGTTTAAACAAAAAGGGATTCCTGATCTCTGAAGCATTGTGTCCTTCCCAATCACATCTGTCTGCATTGATGCTCTTGTGAAAGTTCCATTATTAACATCACCTGAATTGCATCTTGTGACTTTTGTTGCATTTGCTGCAAATCCTCGGTTCTGTGTGTGTGCTTTTGAATACAATAGATGCAGATAAGTGATTCTGTACTGAATGTTTTTTTAATCTTTGTAACCCCTAACTTTTTGATTGTAGCAGTGAGGGAAATGGTGAGGAGTCTGTGTAGCCTGTTAAT